CCCAACAAATGATCTTTCTCCCACCAAGGCTGATCTAGCTACCACCACTTCTAGTATCCACCTGCCAATAACAAGTCAATAGCAATCTCCCAGTGCGGCATATTCCAGGACAGTTTATCAATTGGTAAAACTTCACATCATGAGGGGAACAGTGACTTGTCCTTACAAGAACAGACACAAATTCTAGATAGATTTTCCTTCTCTAGCCACCACATACTTATAGAAAGTCTTACATATCATCATGACATCCTATATATACCTCCAACCAAGTATATACAGAAGTGTGGCAACAGACTTTTACACTAAAATATTTACTTGTTTTATCTTGTGCTTTATCATCTAGAAGTAACTGGTAGAATCAACTACTGAAAGCTCAGTTTCAGTACCAACTGAGATCTCCCACAGGATGTTGTGTTTTTTGTTTTTTTTTTTTTTTTTAAGTTCTTTGCATGTTTTGAATATAAATTCATTATCAGGTAGTGTTTTGAAATATTTCTGACAGAAATATTTCTGGCCTGTCTTTTCATTCACTTAACAGTCTCTTTTGCAGAGCAAACATTCGGGATCTTTCGCACGCACGCACACGCGCCCGGCGTGAGTTTTAAGCCACCGGGTCCGGGACGTGAACCGCGGTCGACTACATGGGAGTCCAGCGACATAGCCATTACGCTAACTGCTGGTTCCCAGGATGTTGTTTTAAATGAGCGCCAATACTAACAACTTTAGCCAGCCCAGATCATGGACACATGTGTGCCTGGCATACTCAGGAAAGTCTCTGGACTTCAGCCTCAAACCCTTCCAGAGGGGTTAGCTTCACATTTTACTGCTGCACCATCATTCAGCCCCTTAATATCCATTTTTTCATTGCCTCGTTTATACAATTAGAATTAATCTTACCTCACAGGCCTATTATGAAAATTGAGTTTGGGACTGGCAAGTGGCATGGTAGTTAAAGGTGCTGGATTCTCACATGGCCAACCACAGTTCAAGTCCTACACCTGGCAGCTTACTTTCTCACTTTCCCATTCTCTCTCTCTCTGTCTGGTTAAATTAAAAAATAATAACAGTAAATGAGATTAAATAAATAATTCTTTTATTTTGTTTAGTTTTTTTTTTTTTTGGGGGGAAGGTTTTGCCCAGAGACAGAAAGCAAGAAGTCACCCCCCAGAGGGGATGGCCACGCCGCAATCCCTTCTCCTCCATTCTCCTCTCGGGATCTTGGGCATGCACGCACACGCACGCACACGCACACCCGCCTGGTGTGAGTTTTAAGTCACCGGGTCTAAGACACGAACTGCAGTCAACTACATGGGAGTCCAGCGACATAGTCATTACACTACTGCTGTTCCCAATAAATAATTCTTTAAAAGACAAGACTGAGGTTAAATATATAAACCTTTGTATGTTTTATATATATTAAGTACTAAACAAATGTTCACTATAATTCAATCGATCATGAGAATTTTATTTTTACTTCATTTTTATGACTGCTATTCTTACTCGGGGTTTCATCATTTTTCCCCTAGACTAACATAGTGCCCTCTTATCTAGACTTCCTAATGTTTATGTCTTTCCTACCCAATTAATAGACTATAATATGCCTGAAGTATTCTATCATGAGATAGAAGGTAAATAATAATCTCTGAGAAATATTGGAAGGAAAATTCTTTAAATGAGGAAATTGAAGTTAATGAATCTTCCAGAATCCTTAGAAATCTAACATTTTTATTAAAAAGTTACTATTTTCTATTTCTAAGGTAGTCAGGAAAGTCATGACACACTTTTGCTTACAAAAACACAAAACATATGGCATGACAACGGGTGCTGACCCCCCACGAGGGGGGGATGCATGCATTTTTCGGATCAAAACCATGGGGAATCAGGGTTCGATTCCGGAGAAGGAAAAAAAAGAGAAAGAAAGAAATATTAAAAAAAAAAAAAAAAAAAAAGCAATGACTTTCCCAACACCCAAAATAATTTTTCATCTTAAGTAAACATTTACACACATGGGTATCAAGTCTGAGAGAGAAGTATTTACGATCATTAAGTAAAACCAGCTCTAAGATTTCAGTCTAAGTCCTCTTGCAAGAGTAAATGAAGATACTTGAGTTTTCAAGGATTTTCTTAGAATAGATAGCTGTAACCCACACATATAATAGTGGTGGTGGTGGTGAAGGGGGCTAAAGGTCTCAAATACTTGGTCTAAATCGTCACTGCAAAGCAATGCCACCTAAACCAAGTCAGCCAAGAACCCATAAAACAAAATAGGCCCCTTGGAAGCCAAGTCATGTCAGTGACTTCTTATGGGAGAAATCTCACTAATGGCTAATTCTTGTTACATGCACAATTCTATGTTTATACACGTTTTCATGTTTGAAATAGATTAAAAGGACTAAAATTTTCATAAAAAAGAAATCAGAAAACAAAAGAAAAAGGAAAGGGAAAATTGAGGAGGCAACTGTTGTAGAAGGACTATAGAACTTGGTTGGAGTCAGATTTGAATTGTAAGTCTTATTTTTGATGCATAATTATCCAGAAAGAGCATAAAATGACTAAGTACTGTTAAGAGTTATTGTTATTATTGTTGAGAATAAACTTACCACAACAGATTTTCTCTGGAAGTTTATGTTGTTGATACAGACGACCTGATGGGTTGTGTATCAAAAATACAAAAATAGGATAGAAAAAGAAAAAAAAACTCTATTATTACATGACACCATTAATTCTAGCCAAGTATAAATAAGGACTATGTTCTCAGTAGCTCAAAATCTTTCATTTCCTTTTTGGAGAGGTTTTCGCTATAGGGCGCGTGCACTCAACAGAAAGACAGAGACAGACATAGAGACAGAAAGCGAGAAATCACCCCCCCAGGGGGGATGGTCACGCCGCAATTCCTTCTCCTCCATTGTCCTCTCAGGATCTTGGGAACCCACAGCACATGCGCCTGGCGTGAGTTTAAGCCGCCGAGTCCAGGACTCGAACCGGGGTCGACTAAGTGGGAGTCCAGCGACATAGCCATTACGCTAACTGCTGGTCCCCAAAATCTTTCATTTTAAAACCTTTCAAATCTGGGCGTGGTAGCAACACGCCCTACGGCAAAACCTTAAAAATCGGATACCTTGTTTTAAGACTAACCACACCCATGAGAATATATTTTCTCTAGACAGAAATACAATTTAGTACTTTAAGAAAAAGATTTCTTGATCTGCAAGACGAATTAAATCTGAATAACACAGTCATTCAAAACGTTTCCAAGCACCACTTCCATCCTAGTGAGTGGATTCTAGAGTCCCACCAGGTTGCCCAGGCCCACCATGTCCGTCTCAAGCAATCACAAAATAAAATCAGTGAAAACAAAACCAAAAAGAAGGAAGATGAAAAAATACTTATAATTTATATGGCCTCGGGCTTTCAAAACCCTTGTCTCCTTTCTTCCTGTTCATTCTGGCGGGCTCTAACCCAGTTGGCGGCATGAAGCGATCCTGCAGCGCTCGGCTTTCCGGCGGCCCGGGGGGCTGCAGGGCATTACTGGTCCCCGGCAGCTCCCGCTCCCGCTCCCCGCTCCCGCTCCCCGCTCCCGCAGCGTCTCAACAGTCACCGCCCGTGGCCGGGGCGCCTTGGAACCCAGCCTGGCCGGGTCGCCACCGCCTCAAACCGGCTCCCTCTTCTCAGCTGCTCTCAGCCGCCTCTGTGGAGCCTGTCACAGAGATGCTCTTCTCAGCAACTGTTTGAGCCGCCCGTCCGCCGACATGATGCCTGTCACCTCTGACCTCCTACGTCGCCGGAAGTGGGGCGGCGGGACCAGGAAGTCTTGTGCTTGTGGGCGGGGCTTACACAGTAGTCTGGCTCCGAGATGTTTGCAGGTTCCTTTCGGTATGTGCAGTGTGCGGGAGAATTGAAATTTCAGAACGCGGAGAAAATAATGAGAGGGTGGGGCGAGAAGAGCAGGGGGAAAAAAGGAGAGGGACATTCCATTTTAGAATAATAGCCTAGCGCGAGCACATTGAGAAGTATGGCAGACAAAGATTGCGAATATCCAGGTAATAAACAGAGGTTGGGGAGGGGCTGTCACTCGAGTGTCTCCGGAAACCAAGAGGAGGGGTTTGCGACTGGCTGCTGTGTGAACAGACATAAACTCACTCAGACCCAGTGATTTAAACTGGGCACTATGTGATTAGGCCCCAGAGAGTCTTAAGTGGCAAACTCCGGAGTTTCCCTAGGCATCTGTATTTATTAAAAAGAAATACATATATTTAATAGAATAACCCATATAAATGCCAAAAATGTATATTGAAAGGTATTTTTAAGCTTGTATGTTGCATTTCATGTGCATGAGAGTAAAACTTGTAACTCAATAACTGTTAAAAAATGATTAATTATGTATTACACATGAACTTTTTTTTAACTTTGTATTAATTTAACCTTGGCCTACCCCCTTCAACTCTCCTGGTGAAAGTTCATTAACCAAGTTAAAATTAATTTGAACTTTGGTCTACATCAAAAGATGTTGGGAAAATAACGGTATAAATGAACTTTAAGCATTCAAAACCTGCTAGAACTCACTTGTAGTTTTCTAATATCACCCGTGCCAATATTCGCATTGGATTATAAACTGCTCTATTAGTATTCTTCAGGTAGGCTGGAGGGAATCTAACCGTTTTTGTCTCAAGTGCTATCTGTATCAGCCAGGCAAACAGAAGAGCAATTTATCAAGCCAACTGCATCAATGTGAACAACTAATATAAGTAAATGATAGCACCTAGTGACTTATTTTTTGGTAGAAGTTGGAAGTGGAGGGGAATTCACTTAAATGACATTTGAGTAAATTAATAATTCTCTTCTATAAACTATTACTATTTAGTTCTCTGACAAAATTTTATATGTATTAATGATAAAAATATCAAATCCTAATTAAAGAAATGGAATTTTAAATATAAAAAGGAAGAACTTTTTCTATAAATAAGACCACATAGACCTCAAAGATACACTATATGTAGGAGATAATTTTTCATCCTTATTAATGGTGTGTACATAGTACAAGTGTAATTGAAATAAATAGAAAATATCTTATTACATTAAAAAAGTAAGAGTAGTGGTTGCAAAATACTTAAGGGTGAGGAGAAAAATTCCTTAAAAGACTAGGTTTTCAAAAGTCAAAAATAAAAACAAGAGAGGATCTTTTTCTTGTATCCAGCAACATAAAGCCACTTGAGTCCCAGAGAACAGACTGTTGTATTGTTCTTTTAAGAGATCAGTCTTCTTGAATTATAAACTTTAACACCATTTTGCATCGAAGAACGAGCATATTTGGTGAGTAATCCACCTATAGTTTGTTTCTCTCCGCACAAATCTCTGCAGGAACAATAAAAAAAATTAATAACGTGAGTTTATTTTAGGGAACATAATGATACTCATATTTTATCCCTCTCCCACTAAACCCATCTTTTAATCAGGCACTTGAGTGTATGTTTGTGAGACAGATTGGATGGGGATTACTTCCAAGTCTTAACTGAGCACCAGCCATGGTGGCTCAGGTACAGCAGTACAATGATAGGGCCACAGAGGGGGCTCTTGTTCAGATCCTTGATCACACTGGGTAAACTAAGCACACCTTTGGTTTTGGCTGGCTAGGATGTGGGGATTGGGAGAGGAAGACTAAGACATGGCAAGACTCCATTGGGGGTGTGCACGTCTGTCTCTCACTCCATCTCTTTCTCTCTTTTTTTTTCTTTTTTTGGAGGGGTTTTTGCTACAGGGCACGTGCGCTCACCAGAGAGACAGAGAGACAGAAAGCGAGAAATCATCCCCCATGGGGGATGGCCACACTGCAATCCCTTCTCCTCCATTCCCCTCTCGGGATCTTGGGCACACATGCAATACATGCCCAGTATGAGTTTAAGCCACTGGGTCCAGGACTTGAACCATAGTCAGCTACATGGGAGTCCAGCGACATAGCCATTACGCTAACTGCTAGTCCCCTTCACTCCGTCTCTCTTGAGGTAAATGGATAAACTTGAAAAAAGGTGTTAAAAGAACTAAGTACAGAGACCAGCAGATGGTGTAATGGTTACGTTGCTGGATTCCCACATAGTCAACTGCAGTTCGAGTCCAAGACCCCGTGACTTAAAAAACTCAGGCCAGGCCAGTGAGTGTGTGAACCCAAAATCCCAAGAAGAATGGAGGAGAAGTTATTTTGCCATGGCCATTGCCCCTGGTGGGGTGATGTCTCACCTTCTTTCTCTCTGGCAAGCACGTGCACCCTACAGCAAAATTCTCTCTTAAAAAAACAAAACAAAACAAAACAAAGAACTAGGTTCAGAACTTATATTATTTAACTTTTACAAAAGAGTAGGAGTAAAATGTTATTATTTAACTTCCTATTAGATATAAGGAAATTGAAGCTCAGACATGTAGTAAGTGACAGAGTCACATTTGCCACCAGGTCTGTATAACTTCAAAGTTGATGTTATTTCACACCACACAGCAAGCAAATTAGAAATGCAAGCAATGTGATAACGAGTGTACAGTCAGAGAATCTGAATACTAGTTATCTGTATGAGTTGTTTAGGTGTTCTACCATTTCTGAACCTAGCTTCCATTTCTAAACCTCAAAGAGAAGAGGACTATGACTGCAACATAATGGGGGGGAGGAGAGGGAGGTTATGAGCTGACAAACACAGCAAGGGCTATATTGTGTAGGAACTTGAAGGACTTGGAAAGGAGTTGGGATTTAATTCTAAATATTAGAAGAAGTCACTAGGGTTTTTTTTTTTTTATTAATGGAAAAGCATAATGTGATCTAAGTAATGACGGAGGCAATACGTCAGTGATTTTTGAAGTGGGGTGGTGGGTACATGGAGAGATTTTCATGTTATACTGTCTCTTTTGAATGTTGAAAAATTTCCAAAATAAACCGTATAAGAAAGGGAGTGGAGAAGGTAGGCAAAAACAGAAGTAGGGAGACAGGTTCAGAGGCAGGTACAAGATGATCCATCAGAATTTGCTCATAGTGTGAACAGATGAGGGAAGGAAAGGAAGAGATGACTCTGAGATTTTTTGCTTGAGTAACTAGATTGATGGTGGTGATAAATGAGATGAGGAAGACAAGGGAGAATCAACGGTTCTATTATGAATGTGCTAGGGTTGAAATTCCTATGGACTATCCACGTGGAAGTATTAATTAGGCAACTAAATAGAACAATCTGGAGCTCAAGGAAAAGAGTAAGTATGAAGGTAATGTTAAGAAGTTACTAAATTTAAACCTAGGCCTGGATGAAGGATCCAAGGGAAAACTATGGGAAGAGGACCAGGAATAGAGTTTGGGGTCACTCCAAGATATAAAGATTGGGAGGAACAGTGAGACGTGAGACAAATGAGAGAAAAGGAACTGCTTTGCAAGAGGGGGGAGAAAACCAGCACGTTTCAAGGAGGAAATAGCCCACTGAATGGAATAGTGCTAAGAGATCAAGGAAACAAGAACCATTGATCACTCTGAGTGTAGAAAGATGGATGTCACTGGAGACATCATTGGGCAAAGGAAAGAATGGCAGGCAAAGAAGCAGAAAGTAACTGTATTAAGCTTTTTATTTATTTATTTTGAATTCCCACAAGGCAGGTGGACTCACTGGAGAGAGAGAGGGAAAGCACCCCCCCACACACACCCCAAGGGGAGATGGCCACACCACAGTCCCTCTGGCTCATCTTGAGATTTAGGCATTCACACACATGCCCGTGTTTTTCAGGTCACCGTGTCCAGAACTTGAACCGCAGTTGGCCATGTGGGATCCAGCCACCTTAACCACCACATTATCCAAGTGTGCAAAACTTTTAGTGGGAATATTTTGTGAAGGAAAACAAGAGTATGTTTTTTAATAGGCAATATTACAGAATGTTGTAGACTGATGGGGATGATCAAGGGAATAGACACTGAGGGGGGGGGGAAAGAGAGAGAGAACTGGAGGATTGAAGTCCTTATAGCCAGAAGGGATGGATCTAATACAGAAAGATTGGACTTAGGACCAAGGATAATTCATGCATTGTGCAGAAGGGAGTGAAAAAGCGATACAACATGAGAAGGTTAGCAGACTTGGCAGGGAAAAGAAGGTTAGGTCTTATCTAACTGCTTCTGTTTTCTCAAGAAATAAGACCACGGGCTGAGAGTAAAGAGGAAAACTGGGATATTGCTGGTATGAAAAGAACAAAGTATAAAGGAAGTCCCAAAAGTGGACACGTTTCATGAAGAAATGGTGCTGGGCAAACAAGTGGCATAAGGCTAAGGCAGATGGATCTCACATGGCTGACTGCATGGTTAGAGTCCCGATCCCAGAAGCTTGAGAACAATGCCCAGTGTATGTGTGTGCCTCAAATCCCGAGGAGAATGGAAAAGGGATTTGGCGTGCCGTCCTCCCAGGAGTGCTTTCTCTCTCCCCCCACCCCATCTCTGTCTCTCTCCTGTAAGTACACACACCCTATAGCAAATTAAAAAACAAACAAAAGTGTTAAGTACCACTTCATGTTCTTAAGCAAACTGGCAGCCCCCTGTTTCTTCTTCTCCAGGACATTTCAGCTGCTCAAGTGTACACTGAGTAAGCAGAAAGTTAGGTTTAATTTTGTTGGATTTCTGCCAGGAAATTATTATGTGATGAGGAAGAATAGGACAAAGGAGTAAAGTATGGACAGGAGGAGTTAAGAAGAACTGACCAGAGAATCCAGGCTGAGTAAAGAGAAGAGACCTGAGAAGTATGACACACATGATGAAATTTTAATATTAGGAGATTTAAAACCCTGTGCCACTCTTAAAAAGAACCCTCAAAAATCCACCTCTAATGAGTTACTTACTGAATATATGGAGCAATATCTTCTTCTGTCCACTTTTCTCGTAGAGAGAATAAACTATTAAAACGTTCCTGATTATCTTCAGGTAAATCATCTACTTTAAACAGAAATATGATTTCTGGTCTCGAATGTCTGTCCACCAGTGCTAAACCCTAGAAGAAAAAGGACAGGTAAAGTAATGACCTTAGGTTTAGACATGAGCCATTCTCTTCCCTTTAGTTTAAACTAGTCCAGATGTCAGCTGTGGGAAACTTAATCTATCCAGAGAATGGCAATAACCTTTTTCATAAAAAAGAGCTCCTTCAAGCCATGACTTCTTTTCCCTTTTGCAATCTAGCTTCTACCACCCCCAATAATCAAGACAACAGTAGTCCTAAAGGTCATTGGTCATTGCCAATGACAATATACCCTTTTCTTGGATTCATCTTCCTAGCCCTCTGGATTTGTTTTTTGTTTATGCTTAATGTTGATTATTTCTTCCTCTTTGAATTTTTTTCCATCTCTGACATCACCATCTCTTTATTTTCCTACCTTGATATTGTAGTACATTAGGCCTCTATCCCAACTCCTCTAATTGTGTCCCTGTCACTCTCCTGGGTAACCTCATCTAAACCTGTAGCCTGAACCACCATGTAGTTGCTAGTGACTGTATTATTTGTATCTTTAGCTCAAATCTCCTGAGCTCCAGAACTCTATATTCAAACCTATACATGAACCTGCCTTTATCACCTAAATGAACTCTAGCCCCCTTATTCTAGAAAAAGAAGGAAACAGAAGCATCACCATCCTAGATTCCATTGTTCAAACTCCACACTTAAGTGATCACTAAATCTTATAGATATTAAGGCCTCAAGATTTCTCTATCCATTCCTCATGATCTATGTCTTTGACCAGTACTCTTTAGGATTATTTAATTGCTAAGAGCCTAGAAAGTTCTTTTGCATAATGTAACCAATCTCTCTCCATCTATGGTGATCATGAAGGGCCTTGTAGGCCAACATACAAATTCTGGATTTCGTAACAGTAATTTAAGCAGGATATTTTTAAAAAGATGATTTCACTGGCACCATAAACAACAGATTGGAAGTGGGCAGAATTAAAAATCAGAAGTGCAAGAGGCCAACTTAGAGGATGATGTTGCTGTTGTAGAGGCAGATGATGGTAGGTTGGACTAGGAACGTGGTGACAGAAATGGAGAGAAATGGAATGAAATGGGACACACTAGGTGGGAACAGGGATTAACTGCAGGTAGGCCCAAGGGACCTTATTGAGGCAATCAAAGTATTCTTTTCCTTTATGTCTTCAAAATTTATTTATTCCAGGAGCAAGACACACATAGGCAGACAGAACACACAGGAGGGTCCTGATCCTGTGATTCACCCCCATCTTCAGCCAGCCCTTCAGCTCAGAAGCACTCCCACCATACTCAGAGAGGTCTCCAGATGCAAACCCAGAACCTTCTCATAGCAGAGCATAGTGTTTTACTGCTGTAGCATCATAAAGCCCCCTAAGGAAAATGTTTCACAGTGGATTGTGGAGATGGCTGTATAACATAGTAAATTTACTAAAACTCAGTTTCATAAGGTGAATTTTATGATATGTAAAGTATTCTTCAATGAAGTATTGGGTTTAAAGACAGTGAAGGACTGAATGCATTCCTAATGAGTGTCTAGGAAAATAATTTGACTACAAACTCAGCTCCACCACATCACTTCATCTAGTACTTAAGCACCTGTTGAACTATGGTAGAAACTCCTATTACCATTACCTTAAGCTGATCAAGCCTCGTTACCATTCCTTCAGGAACACTCTGCTGCCACACTTCTTGAAACTCAGCAAGATTGAATTTCACGGCATTCTGAAGTAGCATTTGTGCAGTTGCTCTGCATATTTTATCAGCACTCAATTCAAAATATACTTCACCTAAGGAAAAATTTTAAATAGTTTGATATTATCCTCTTATAATTAAATACAGGATGAATGCTTTTTTTTCCTCAGTGCAATCTCTTAAAAGAAATTACACATTTCAACTCACTCGCACAACCCCATTGAGTTCTAATTTTTAACACCAGCAAACTTCAGAAAGGTACACCAGTTTCAGCATACAAAAGAATACCCATTAAAATATTTTCCTGGGACCAACAGTTAGCATAATGGCTATGTCACCAAACCCCCATGTAGTTGACTGCGGTTCAAGTCTCGGACCCAGTCACTTAAACTCAGGCCGGGCACATGTGTGCACATGCCCAAGATCCCGAGGAGAATGGAGAAGGGATTGCGATGTGGCCATCACCCCTGGGGGGTGACTTCTCGCTTTCTGTCTCTCTGTCTGTCTCTGTCTATCTGGCGAGCGCACATGCCCTGTAGCAAAAACCTCTCAAAAAAAAAAAAAAAAAAAAAAAAAACTTTCCAAATCTTACCTTCATCTACATATTTCTTTCCATAACATTTAAGACAGTGTTCTATCATTTCCCTGAAAGAAATAAAACAGTCATTTAAAGATTTATCAATGTTTTTATGCACCATTTTTTAAACTCCATGGCTATAAGAAATTAAGATGTAACTGGAGATTCGAAAGACTGATTTTGGTTGACAAATAATATTTTATTTAAATTAGGAATTAACTAAATATACTGTGAAGTTATGATTTGCCAGGCCCCATACCAAACATTTTTATGTGAACATACATTTACTATTACAAAATAGCTCAAACATAACATTTATTTATATTTTTATGGCAAAAAAATACATTTATTCATCCCAGCAGGTGAAATCCCCAATTCCTTTTGGTTATATATTTTTTTAAGTTTTTGTAAGATATCAAAATAGAAATAGTGTATTCCATAGGTTTAGTTTCAGTCTGAAAAAAGAATATTTTCCCCTTTAAAAAATTTTGGAGGAACAAGTAAATAAAATACTTACTCTGGTTCTAATGGTCCAAGTTCCTGAAGGCATATACTCAAAGGGACTTTACTAAATGACCAAGATTCGGAATCCACAAGCTGTGTTACATGATTCAAAAGTTTCATCTCATAATCAAATTCAAGAATCCTCCAATAACCTACAAATTCCAAAAGTTACATTTACCAAATAACATTTTAAGCAGATTAACTGGCTAATAGATTGAAAAAGTGATAGCATACTGAGTCCACTGCAAAAGACACTGAAAGTCTTTGCTTCCTCTAAACAATTCTTTTGTATGCTTTTCTCGCAATCATTTAAAATTGTATTAAGGGACATCAGGTAGTTTTTAAAAGTGCTCGGCCCAGCCTTGGTGGTACGTCAGGCAGGTAGCATACTGAACTGCAGTACTGGAAGCTACATGGTCAACTGCAGGTTTGGATCCTGAGTTGACCTTAAGGAGATTACCGGATGATGAGTCCCTGTCGAGGAAGCCTGTCTCTATCACTTTCATGCACATACTCTTGTGAATAAAATAAACTTAAAAAAGAAAAGAGTATTTGCATATGATTAAGACCTTTTTTCAAGTATGCTAATACTCAATTTTCTCACTATCATTTTTGTTGTCTAAGTGGAAATGCAGAAATGTGCAGTTGGTGCAATCATTACATTAGAACAAGTGAGGAGAGCGTCTCAGGTTCGGTATTCTATATTGTAACCTCTTCTGTACTGCACTGCCATGGTTCTAACTCTCATCAAAGCTGCCTGCAAAACTGTTTTCATGCACATAAAGATGTCCAGCTCATTTAGGAAATGAAAACCTCTGTGGCTGAGGGGAAAATAAAATCTGGGTATCAAGATAATTTTCCCAGGACCAGCAGATGGCATAATGGTTACATTGCTAGATTCCTACATAGATGACTACAGCTTGAGTCCCAGACCCAGCAGCTTAAAACACGCTGGGCACGTGTGCATGTGTGCCCAAAATCCCAAAAGGAGAATCAAGGAGAAGGGATTGATGTGGCCATCCCCCTGGTGGTGGTGGGGGGGATTTCTTGCTTCCTATCTTTCTGTCTCTCTGGCAAGTGCACGCACCCTATAGCAAAAATCTCTTGGGGGGAAAAGGATAATTTTCCCTGGGATGATCATAAAGTAATTCTGTAATGTGTACTTGACAGGCACAACCACCACTCCTGGAGAAAGAAATCGAGTACACTCCCACCATAACTAACATAGACCATTTCCAAGTGCTCTGGAAACACAGTAAGGTTTTTAAATTCATTATGAACTAGAAGTTCAGGGACTGGGTTCTATACCATATCCCTTCACCAACTCAACATGTGGCCCTAGACAAGTTAGTTCTTTTCCTTAGGCCTTAGTTTCCTTACCTATTAAAAAATAAAAATAAAAAAAAAATTAAAAAAAAAAGATTAGGCTGCCTGATATCGAAGGATCTTTCTTGCTTTAACGTGGTTCTTCTACTATCATTTAATTCAAAGAAAAAGCCTGGTAAAGAATGGTTAAAGTTACTGGTCACAAGGACCAGTGGTAGTATAGTGGAAACACAACTGGACTCACATGGTAAGGTCCTGGGTTTGTGTCCTGGGACCTCAGTGTGCACACATGTGCCCATGATCTGGGCTGGCTGAGATTGAGGGTAGACTACAGCATGAAGATCCTGTTGAGGGACCAGCAGTTAGCGTAATGGCTATGTCGCTGAACTACCATGTAGTCGACCACGGTTCGAGTCCCAGACCCGGTGGCTTAAACTCATGCTGGGTGCGTGTGCGTGTGTGCCCAAAATCCTGAGAGGAGAATGGAGGAGAAGGGATTGCGGCGTGGCCATCCCCACTGGGGGGTAAATTCTTACTTTCTATCTCTCTGTCTCTCTCTGTCTTTCTGGTAAAAATGCCTATCTCTGTCTGTCTCTTTCTCACTGTCTGTCTCTCTTGCTCATGGAAGAAACAGATAAACTGAAAAAAAGATAATGGTAGGTTGACATCTTCATGTAAAGATGATCACACGTAGTGTCTATCTCACACCCAGAAAAACAAGTATCATCATCTTTGAGCTCAAAGGATTATGTAAACAGTATGCAATAAGGTGAAAATGTCTAAAAACTTCTCTCTCATATGATGCATGATTCTATTATTGTTAATAATAAGTAACATTACCTTCAATCTCACAAGCATTTATAACTTGTAACTGGGTCATTATTTCTTCCTCACTTGCCTGAATTTGATCAAGCAAATCTGCAGTCGTATACTGAAACGAGAAAAAAATATTTTAAGGCCTTTGAAGAACATTTTGAAAAATTTCTTGGGAACCAGCAGTTAGCATAATGGCTATGTTGCTGGACTCCCACGTAGTCGACTGCGGTTCGCATCCCGGACCAAGTGGCTTAAAACTCACACTGGGCGCGTGTGCTTGCATGCCTAAGATCCCGAGTGGAGAATGGAGGAGGATTGTGGCGTGACCATCCCCCCTGGGGGGCGATTTCTCGCTTTCTGTCTCTATGTCTCTGTCTGTCTGGCAGGCGCACGTGCCCTATAGCAAAAAAAAAAATAAAATAAATCTCTCAAAAAAATTTCTTGTGGAATTTTGAGGAATAAATACAAAAGATTAAGGCAATGTTTATACACTAGTTTAATTTCTTTTTTAATATATAATGATTACTACCTTAAATCAATGGACATCTTAAATGAAAAAAGTACCAGACCTCTAAAGCAGTAGTTAAGCACTGCCCACGTGACTGACCAGCGCTAGAATCCTAACCACAATGACCTGAAAAACCTATCAGGCACATATGCACACAGGATCCTGATGGAATGAAGAATTGGAGGAAAAGGACTATGGTATGATCAGACCTCCTATTGGGGGTGCTCTCTCACACATAATGGTCCTCTGGAGGTAAAAAAAGGAAGAGGGGGTCAGCCCATGGGATCATGGTTAAGGGAGCTGGATCTTTCAAGGCCTATTGCACAGTTCAAGTTCAAGACCCATGGCTTGAGAAATATGCCAGGTATGTGTGCATGCATGCCTAAAGTCCCAAAAGGAGGAAGAAACAAGGGAAAAGGATTGTGGCGTAACCATTCCCCAGGCTTTCTCAGGTTCCCTCTCTTTCTCTGGTGAGCACATGCCCTCTGGCAAAAAATTAAAAAAACAAACAAACAAAAAAAACAGGTAAATCTTTATGACATTGTTTTTGGTGATTTTTTTTTTTTGAATATGACATGCAAAACACAACCAATAAGAGAAAATTAGATTAACTGTAAGATTTCATCATAATAATAAACTTTGTTACTTGGAAATACTATTGACACAAAAGGACAAATATTTATAATTTAACTTGTATGAGGTATTTTGAGTAATCAAGTTCATGGAGAAAGAAAGTAGAATAGTGGTTGCCAGAGACTGGAGAGAGAGAGTAATTGGAAAATTATTGTTTAATGGATACAGAGTTTCAGTTTGGGAAACTGAGTAAGTTCTAAAGATGGATGGGTCTGATGGTTGTAAACCTATATAAATGTACTAACTGCTACTGATCTGTGTACTTAAAAATGATTAAGATGCTAAATCTCATGTGTATTTTACTACTATAAACAATATGAAGAAGTAAAATGATAAGCCACAAAATAGGAGAAAACAGGGGCCAGCAGGTAGCATGGTGGTTAAGGTGCTGGACTCCAACATAGTCAACTCGGTTCAAGTCTCAGACAGGGCAGTTTGTTTTCTCACTTTCTCTCTCTCTCTCTGTCTCCGTCTGTCTCTGGTGAGCACAAATGCCCTATCACAAATTTTAAAAATAATAATGATAGGGACCAGCAGTTGGCATAATGGCTATCTATGTCAATGGACTCCCATGTAGTCGACCATGGTTTGAGTCCTGGACCCGGTGGCTTAAACTCATGCTGGGCACATGTGTATGCATTCCCAAGATTCCAAGAGACTGGAGGAGAAGGGATTGCAACACAGCCTTCCCCCCGCTTTCTGTCTGTTACTATCTTTCTGGCTAGCACACGTCTCCTGTAGCAAAAACCTCTCCAAAAAAAGAAAAATAATAAAATAATGATAAAACTTTTACAAAATAGGAAAAAATATTTACATATTAGATATCTGATAAGGGCCTTGTATCTAGACTATATAAAGAAGTCTCCTATAATTCAGTATTGAAAAGACAAATAATTCAATTAAAAATCAGTCAAAGAAACTGAATAGATATTCTCCAACGATATACAAATATTGGGTCATCGGGAACCGCCGGGCACGTGTGCGTGCGTGCCCAAGATCCCAGGAGGAGAATGGAGTAGAAAGGATTGTGGCGTGACCATCCCCCCTGGGGGGTGATTTCTCGCTTTCTGTCTCTATGTCTCTCTCTGTCTGTCTGGCAAGCGCACGCGCCCTATAGCGAAAACCTCTCAAAAAAAAAAAAAATTGGGTCATCAGAAAAGTTAGGACATATTTTTCTGTTTTTCTATGCAAAAAAGCATCATGGCTTTAATGACAATCCAATAATACACCCAAGGAAAGATGCTCAAGGTCATTAGAGAAAAGTATTTCAAAACCACAATGACACAGCATTCAAAGCCAGTAGAATGGATGACAAAAAAAAAATAACAAGTGAGGATATGAAGAAATTAAAACCCTCATATACACAACTGGTAGGGAACAGAAAAGGTACAGGCACTCTGTACAACAGTATGGCAGTTCCTCAAAAGGCTATATAGTCACCAGAGGATCCATCAATTTCATTTCCCTGAGTGTACACCCATGGGAAATGAAAACATAGATCCACGTAAAGACGTGTGCATAAATGATCACAACAGCATTATTCACAGTAATCTAAAAGTAGAAACTATTCAAATGTCCATCATCCAATGAATAAATGAATAAAATGTGATATACCCATAAAATACAACATTATGCAGCAGAAAAAGGAATCAATTCAGATAATATGCTTCAACACAGATGAACCATAAGATTATACAAAGTGAAAGAAGCCACTCAAAAAAGGCCACATACTAAATGAGTCCATTTATATGAAATGCCCAGAACAGACAAGTCTGCAAAAGAACAGAAAGTGAATTAGTGGTTGCTTAAGGCTGAAGAGGAGAGCAAGAAAGAGAAGTGAGATTAGAAGGTAAGGGCTGCTTTTTGGAGTGATAAAAATGTTCTAAACTTGACCATGGTGATGGTACACAACTCTGTGAATGTAATATTATAAAACCACTGAGTCATGCAGTCTAAAATGGGTAAATTGTTTAGTATATAAATTATGTCTCAATAAAGCTGTTACTAAAAAAGTTTTTTCAAAGAAATCAAAGGGAGGAGGGGCCAGCAGATGGCATAGTGGTTAAGGTACTGGACTCCCACATGGCTGACTGTGATTCAAGTCCCAGACCCAGTGGCTTGAAAATCATGCCAGGAGCATGTGCGTGTGTACCCAAGATCCCAGAAGGAGAAGGGATTGCAGTGTGGCCATTCCCCCTGGCCTTTCCTTCTCACTTTCCTTCTCACTTTCTCACTTTCCATCTCACTGTCTTGTCTCTCTCTCTCTCTCTCCAGTGAGCACACATGCTCTATAGCAAAATCTCTACAAAAGGTAAAGAAATCAAAGGAGAAGAGAATTTCTATTGTTTTCAGAATACCAGCAGAGTTTTATAATTGTGAATTACATTAAAAACTTCAAAACAAATTTTTATTTGGTTCATAAATATTTTCCCATGCTTTTAGGAATTAGTTAATTTTAACACTGGAGTAAGAATACTTTGCATTTTTATAATGTCTTCTCTCAAGAGCACCTAATTACGTATTTTAAATAAATAAAAATTAATTTACCTCTAAAAAATTATTATTTCTAAGTTAAGAACATGAGAGGATTTCAGCTATGTAAATAGTGCCATGAATCTAGGATTGCTTTAAGGTACTCTAGGATAATTTTTAAAAGGTTGAAGAAGGCAGAGGGGTAGAAGAAAGAAGACTAATAGAATAGTAATAATTACTTTAATGAATGAAGAACATTTAGGGATCATCATACTTCTGCTTTTGGTTATGTTTGAAATTTTCTTAGCATAAACTTTAAAAAGACTGTAATCATTAATTAAAGGTTTTTTTAAAAAATTTTAAACAAAGAAGTGACAATAATAGTCTTACTTTTGAGCGATTTAAATCCTTTTCTTTTTGACTGTCAGGTCCTTCATAGGTATTTTCCATCAAGAGTTTCTTGAGCTTCTTTAATTTAGGTCTACGTTTTCTTAATTCCCAGTAATTATTGGAAAAACCAAAGATCTAAAAATTATAATATATCATTAACCTTTTTGGAACTATCTTAAAAGAAAATTTTATGCAAAATGCAATTAATCCATTTGCCCTCAACAAAAGCCAAGACAAGCAAACCCAAGTACCACGATTTCTACTGCGAAGATACCTGGCCAACCATCGAAACAGATTAATAGACATCTTCAGGAAACATCCCTTCAAACTCTAATTAAGATAATGCCAACACAGTGAGAACCAATAACTGAGCTTCACATCTCAAGTGTACTCTGGAAACTAAAGCATGCCCAGGAAAAAAAAAAAATGACCAGGATAGTAACAATTTCTCTAAGCCTGGTGGAAACAACTGAAAATGAATATATGAAAGCTGAAAAACAAAAAATTAAGAGTTATTATTATAGTCTTCAAATAATGATGTTGAAGTGGAGTGCCCTTATTCTGTGTTGCTCATGATGCCATAATTAAGCAGAAGTAAAGGCAGTGAGACTTCAGTTCAATGCAAGAATATTCTACTATTTAGAATTGTAGTTAGTTTCATTGTTGGACTTGTAACACAGAAAGAGGCCTATCACTGAAGAAACTTAGTTGACAGAGGCTAGATGATGCATGAATACCTATTATCCCTGTCTGTATTTGTAGGACTTCCCCAGTGCCTGGCACTTATCAGGTGATCAATAAGTATTTGTGAAAGAAGAAAAAAAGGCTAAATTGGGTTATCTCTAGGATGCCTAATGAAAGGACAGTGGATACTCTACTCTCAAATTAGGATAAAGGTTGATTGATAATACAAGGCCCAGAGCATAAAGGAGATTCTGCTTAATATTAAGGCCTTCAAAAGAAAAGCTTAAAGACCAAACCAAACTTCCTTTAAAAAACAAACAAAACAAAATTGCCAGAGGATATATATCCTCACCCGAGAGAAAAAAAAGAGAGGGAGAAATAACCCCCCAAGAAGGTGTGTCACACTGCAATCCCTTCTACGTTTCTTTATCCTGTAGGGATTTGGGGCATGTATATACACATGAGCCTAGCAAGGTTTTCAACCTGCTGGGGCTGGGATTTAAACCATGGTTGGCCATGTGGGATCTGGCTCCCTTAACCACTAGACCCTAGAGCTGGCCCAGAACTGATTTATATCTAGTTCACAAAGTGGCAGCCTTCTGGGTGTGTCTGATGCAGATGCTGGTGTATGCTTTTGTGTGTTGGGGTGGGGAGGGAGAGAAATAAGGTTTGGCATAGTGTTTAAACTACTTGCCAACATTTAAAAATTAGTAAAGTGTGCCCCCAAAAATCTAAATTTCAAACTTTATTTGGAAAAAGAAAAATCAAGAAATTGGAAAATCTGTCAAATACTGGGGGATGCTTTCCCATAAAGCAACTGAATACTGGCTACCTACCTACATGGAGCTTGTGCTCTTCAATTTGTAATCCCTATTACTTCTGGATGTCCACTACCATTTATTAACCCATCCCACTTTGCTCATGTGCATTTTCACCTAGCCCTTCAGGTATCTGAAGTACAACCACTAATTTAGAGTTAGCAGATACTTGTTAACTTTTACCCAACCTCAATAAAAAGAATCCTCATAACATCAAATCACAGGTATTCCTAGATGTTATTATGCCCTCACAAAAATACCTACAAAACAAGTAAGAGATGAAAAATAACATTATTAGGGCCAGCAGATGGTATGGCGATTAAGGCACTGGATTCCCACATGGCTGACATGTTTGACTCCTGGACCAGCTGGCTTGCCTCCTCACTTTCCCTCTCTTTCTCTGTCTCTCTCTCTAGTGAGCACACATGCCCTATAGCAAATAAATAAATAAATTTTTAAAAAGAAAAATAACATTATTCTCCATTAAGGATGAGCTGCTATATTTCTAGTTAATTACAATAAAAACTTATAACTCTACAAAAAATATGGTTTTACTAGAAGCTCTTCTGTTCTGATAAAATCACAGAACTCACTGAAGATTCCCAATATTTCTTTTCTTTCCTCTCCTGTGGGAGGCTGCACACCAGCGAATATCGCTTGTGTGCATCCATTCTGTTTAAAAAAAAAAAGGTTTGCCTTAAGTCTTCCTGAAAGAATGAAGGGCTGTACTTTGTTATATATGTAACAACCTAGACAGAATGAAGACTTTTTTGCTTGGTAATTGCATCAGGAGTCTCTGAAATAATTAAAAATATGTTAGACTTAGTTACAGATATTTAATGAACAAAACCAACTTCAAAGCTAAGAAAATTACAGGAACCAGTAGTTAGCGTAATGGCTATGTCGCTGGACTCCCATGTACATAGTCGACCACGGTTGCATCCCATACCCGGTGGCTTAAAACTCACGCTGGGCGCATGTGCATGCGTGCCCAAGATCCCGAGAGGAGAATGGAGAAGGGATTGCGCCGTGACCATCCCCCCTGGGGGCTGATTTCTTGCTTTCTGTCTCTATGTCTCTCCCTGTCTGTCTGGCGAGCGCACGCACCCTATAGCAAAATCTCTCCAAAAAAAAAAAAAAAATGCTAAGAAAATTAGTTTACTTTCTTCAAAAGCTCCAATCTTTTGAAGCTCCAGCCTCATAAATATCACCAAGTGATTACTTACAGTTGGAAAGAGTCTCCTTTCAAAACATATCCTCAGCAAAATTTACTAAAATAAGTCAGACTTTTAGGGTCACCTGACAGGAAATCTTCCATGTTACAGAAAAAGGTCAACTTGTTTGAGACTTAAAAATCAAATTAGGGGGTCAGATGGTACTACAGTGGTAAAATGTGATGTTCTGAAAGGCTGATCCACATGACAAGGTTCTGGGTTCACTTCCAGATACCTTCCTGAGTATGCTGAGTACGTGCATACTATGATCCAGGGCTGGACGAGGCTCAGGGTGGATCACATCATGGAGACCCCATTGAGGGTGCTTGCTAAACTCTCTCTCTCTTGCTCATTGAATAAATAAAGTAAACTTTGAAAAATCAACCTGGGAAACTAAAGACAAGTTCACACCATTATAAATACAAATTTGAAGTTTGAGAAACTTCAAATTTCACTAAAGAACTTCATAAATTCCCCAATAGTTATACATTGTAATACATTTACCTCAAGTTTTAACTAATGATAAAATTAGTCTGTCATTCTCAGACATATATAAATCCGGGGACAAAAAAGAGTACCTCAGTGTGAATAATGTTACAGTGTGGTTCTTCCATCTTCAGCTGCTCAGGAGTTTTACAACCAGGAATGAAAAGCAACATATTCGAAGTATCTGCTATTTTCAGGTCATATGTTTTGTCTTTACTGCACAGCACAGCTTGTTCATCTTTATCACCACGAATCACAAGACTGTGGGAAAATGGAGAGGAAAAAAAATATGGTTTTACTGAGACTCCAGTGAACATCTTCCTTATAAACAGTCTCAAAATCTTCGAGGCTTATAGAATTTAAAATGAGGTCTTGAGGCTGTGCCACAGTGAACAATGATGGCTTGAAGAGGGCAAGAAGTAGGCCAGGTGAGAGTGGGACATGCACTCAGTGACACACTAAGGAAAAATAACCAAACATGTGCAGAGACCAAGAAGCCAAATGTCACTCCATGCATCTTTGTGAAAATTGCTGGGAGAAGTACAAAACAGAGCATCTAGAAGTTTTAGTCAATAGGTCACCATTTGCTAAAACATGTTAAACCAATACTTTTCAAACTTAAGCATAATCATCTTAGGGAATCTTGCCAAAAGCAGACTGGGATTCAGCAGGTCTGGGATGGAGCTGAGGACTCCACAACTCCAAACAATATGACAGAGGATAACCAGGCTGCTCTCCTGGTAACCAGCCAAGCATCGTCCTTATTCTGTTTGGACTATCCATTTACCATCAAAGGGGCACACCCTGGCCTAACCATCAGCTCTGCTGCAAAGAAATTGGGACCTTATGAAAAGAAGGCTGCAACACTGAGTGAAAAATATGTCAAGGATATATTACAACTGGACTAAAAAGACTACGTTTAATCACAGCTGAAAGAAAACAAAGAGAAAAAAGATGGAGGGGAGGAAAAGGAAAGACTAAAGACAAAGACGATGGAGAAGACAAGAAGGGAATTGGTTCTAGCAGTTTCTTCTGTTTAGAAAATATTTCACCTTCCTGTACACAACTTGCTTCTTTTAAATAAAGAATAAAACTGATATAGAAGATTATTTTTTCAAACTAAGCCTTCATTTAAGAATGAAAACAGTCTGAGACCAGCAGATGGCATAATGGTTACATTGCTAAACTCCCACATGGCCAACCAAAATTTGAGTTCTGTATCTGGTAGCTTGAAACCCATACCAGGAATATGTGAATGTGTGCATACCCTAAATCCTGAGAATGGAGAAGGGATTACAGTGTAGCCAATTCCCCTGGGGGGGTGATTTCTCACTTTCTGTTTCTGTCTCTCCAGTGAGCACACATAATCTCTAGCAAAAACCTCTCTTAAAAAAAATAATTAAAAAGTATAAATTAATGTTTATTAGGCCCAAAGACACACTCCTTAAGATTCACTTGTATATTGTACAAGTGAAATGAAATATTTTGAAATATTTTTACACCAAGTCCTCTAAAAAAAAAAAATTAAAGCACAGATTTCTAGCCCTTTTTTCTTTTACTCTGACCAGCTAGATTAACTGTAACTGGACAAAGAGAAAGTACTGGCACCTGGAATTTTTTCTCCAATCCTCACCAACTCAGCTGGAACAGAAAAGGATGAGAAGTTCTCCTTCAATTCCCTTAAAGATAATTTGTGGCTAGTATCTGAATACTCTATAATACTGTCTGATGGATAAAGTAAGAAAACTGAAAGCCTAAAGGGTTCAATTGAAAGGAACCTATAAGAGAAAATATAACCTAACAAAAACCAGGTGTTGGAACAATAGTGCAAAAGAGCATCAAGCTGGATTAGCAGCTAATAATTTGCAGGAGTTGGGACTGCACAGGTTGAGGACTAGAAGGCTTCTCTAGACTCAAGATGGCCTTCAATATCTCCATTACTCTCTGTGTGTGGTTTTTTAAATCCAATTTGTAACTGAACTCGATTTGCAAACAGCTTAATATACCCCCTGAGGGGACCCACCCAGGCAAGGCTGTGTTTGTTCTTGAGTGTGGGGGGCGGGGGGGGGAGAGGGAGAGGTCTCATTCAGTCACGGAGACTGCAACACGGCTTGAAACTCAATGTAAAAAACGGTCAAGAGCTCTGTAAGTATTAGATATTCGTGTATATTTTAAGGGAGAATAACACAATAATCTGGGGAGTCCCTGGCATTACTGTGAACGTCTTTAAAATTTGACGTTTCTGCGGACAGGGGGAGCTGGGCGTGTCCTATCAACTCAGTTCAGCTGAGTGGATGGCCTAGCAGGGGCGTGGACTCTTAAGGAGCTGGCATCCTGCTGGGGACCAGGACAGGACCTTGCTGTGAGTCCGTCCCCTCCCAAGTCAATGCATCTCTCTGGCCCTGTTTCCTCGTCCTGCGTTTATCGACTGAGAAAATCAGAAGGTGGCTGGCTAGAGGCGCTGGCGTGCTGGGCCTCCCGCTTACCCGCTCACCTCTGTCCGGCCTCCAACTGCTGACACAGCGCAGGCTCCAGTTCCAGCAGACAGAAGTCACCGGTGGCTGCGCTGCTGGCCCCGGGGCCGAAGCTCAAGCAGTGCACCGCGGGCAGCAGCTCGGCCGCGTCCAGTTTGGCGATCTGCAGGGTCGCGTCCACCTCTTCCCGAGTCCTCGTCATCGCCGCGCCGGGTCGACGATTCGCGGGTAGGCCGGGCAAAAACAAAGCTCTGCAAGCGACAAGGACTTGAGAAACGCACGCTCAATTTCAAAAGCGCGCCAAGGCGGCGGGAGGGGGGTGTGTGTTTCCGGGGCGGAGCTTGCCGTGGGCGCGGGCCCAGGAAGGTCCAAAAGCTCCTCCGCGCGCTATCGCGGCTGCGGGTCTCCACGTAGGGCGCTGACTGAGGGGAGGAAACGCGGCCCCAGCGGTGCAGTGTCGGCGGAAGATCTCGGGAGCAGAGCTGCGACACGGCGTCTCACCCGCCCCTTCCGCTGCCCGCCGCCCTCCATCTGCAGCCAATGCTCTCATTTCCTCGTGGTGCAAGCGGTCTGACCTGCCAGTGGCGCGGCCTGTGATAAGCCCTTTGCTTGCGTAATGTCACGACCCTTTTACCACAACCCTGTCTGGCGGGCCCTTCCCGGGCCCGTTTTGTAAACGGGGAAGAGGCCTTCTTGCCCTTAGTGGCAGCCAGGAGGCGACGAAGTGTCTCAGTCCTACCCGTCTGTTAGGGCTGCAGAAGCATCCTGCGGGGTTTGGGGCAAAGGAGCCAGAGCCATGGTAGAATCTGACCAGGCATCCCGCTTCCTTGGGCCTAGGGCCCATCACATCTGGGAGATAACGGCTTGAACCAGCTCTCCTTTCCTGGAACGCTTAGTTTGTGCCGATGTTAGATGAGAGCCTGGAAAGCCCAGCAGTCTCCTGGGAACACAGGCAAACATGGGGGCAGGATGTGTACGCCGCCTGCTCTTACTGGTTTATAGTGCCGAACGCAGAAGTTTAAGAGAAAAGCCCATCTAGATACACCACATACTTTTTTTTCCTGAGAGTTTTTTGTTATAGGGCGTGTGGGCTCGCCAGAAAGACAGAGAGACAGTGAGAAATGGATGGCTACACCACAATCTTTTCCCTCCATTCGCCAGGATCGTGGGCATGCTCACACTCGTGCCCCGCCTGAGTTTAAGCCACTGGGCCGGAATCGAACATCGATTGACTACATGGGAGTCCAGCGACATAGCCATTACGCCAACTGTTGGCCCCACGCACCACGTGCTTGGATAACTGTAACATGAGGTAAATTTCCAGGGGTGTTTGTAGATTCATTTAGAACTCTATACACACACACACACACACACACACACACACACACACACAAACACACACACAGAGCGTATTCTGTTTTAAGAGATGGTGCCCTCTTTTTAGTATCTACAATTCAGACCTTGGCTGAATGGTTGTGGGGATGTGGGTGGGGAATGCAAAGGGTTGAAGTCAAGGGAAAGAAGCCAAGTTTTATTTATTTTTAACTCTGGTAAAACTGTATGAACATAGTATAGTAGGGCATTACAAGAATGGTAGAAAGGTTTTGTATGACCTATTTATTTATTAACTTTCTCTCTCTCTTTATTCGTGAGAGTGCATGAGAGAGAGAGAGAGAGAGAAAGAACTACCCTACACAGGACTCTGTCCTGTCACCCTGCATTCCCCTTCCTCCAGTCCTCCAGTCCTTCAGGATTCTGGATGTCCCTGGAATGCACACACGATGTGAATTTTCAGACCACTGGGACTGGGGACTCCAGTCATGGTTGGCATGTGGCTTCCAGCTTCACAGTCAGATGTGCCAAGTGGGCCACAGAGGCTATACCACTAACCTTTTTAAGATACCTGAGTGTGTAGGAAATATGGTGGCACAAAATTCTAAATATGAAGGTAGCTGCCTGTGAGAATTTATTATCAAGAAAGGAATGAACTGTTGTAGTTGCTCTTTTAAACAAATAGTCCCAACCCCCTGGGATTTAATACATTCAATATCTAATAAATGTTTTTTAAATATTAAGCTGAAGAAAGACAACCAGAAACCAGTATTTATGTTCAACCAATGACATGAAAAACACACATCAAAAATTACCACATAGGAGGCTGGCCACATAGCACAGTGCTTAAGTGCTGTTCAGAAGAAACCAAATCCCACATGGCTAGCCACAGTTGAAGTTCTAGCCCTAGTGGAGAATTAGAGGAAAAAAAATTGTAGTGTGACTAGGCCCTGTAGGGGAGTGCTTTCTCATTTCCCAACTCACTCCCATCTCTTTTTTGCATTCCTCTACACCTAGCAAAAACAAAGAAAAAAAAAAAAAAAAACGAACAAACAAAAAAGAAAACAACTACCAAATAGTGGCCGAATGGTGGTACAGTAGTAAAATGCAATGCTGTGTGAAACTGACCCACATGGGAGGGCTCTAGATCTGCATGTGGAGACTTCTCTGAGAACACCAAACACATGTTTGGCCATGATGGGCTGATTGAGGTAGGGGTAAATTGCAGCATCAGAACCCTGTGGGGGTGCTGCTTCTCTGTCTTTCTCTCCTGGGAGAGAAAAATGGATGAGCTTTAACAAAATAAATAAATAATATAAAATAGAAGTATTGAAATGGAAGAAAACAGACTAGAAACACCCCCTCACACACATCCATCTTGATGGTAAGCATAATTAATATCTTCACCTAACTAAAGGCTATTCTGTAGATAAGATAAAGCCTCACTAATATATGAATTTATTTTGGCTTGAATTTGAATTCATTATGACTTTAAAGAAATATCTCACCAAAGAGAAGAATTGCAGGTAGTGGAAAAAATATAATAGAGTCTTGGAAACTGCATTAGCTTATATTTACATAAAATCAATTCGGATAAGACTGTTCTGATTTATGGCAAGAGTCGCTTCAAGTGAAGTAAATTTTTTTTAACTTAACAACTTCTGTTAGATAAACTCATAAAGTTTTGCTTCTCAGAATTTTTCCCACTAGATGGTAGTATTGTGTAGTGTTTCACAGAGCAGCCTCCTTTGCCTTTTTGTTCTCCACTGCCTTCAAAAAATAAACCAAAGGAATATTTCTGTCTCTCTGGTGAACATATGTACCCTATAGAAAAAAATCTCTCAAAAAAAAAAAAAAAAGAAAGGGATTGGATTTCAAATATCTGTGATTTTAAATTTTATGATAGTATTAATTTAATGCCATTATGATTTAATTAAATTCAATGCCATTGTGGTATTGCACATACCCTCTATATAATATGAATCATTTTAAGTTTATTGAATCTTTTTTATTGAGTCTTTTCTTGTGAAAATACCATTTTATTTCTTCTTCCTTTTTTTTTTCTTTTCTTTTTTGGTTCTTCTTTCTCTCTTTTGCCCACTTGTGGATTTTTCAGAATTTCACTATACTTTATTTTTTGGAATTTTATTATAATATATTGCTTTTTAAGCCATTTTCTTTGCATTTTTTAAGTTTTATATATATATATGTGTGGGTGTGTATATGTATATATATATATGTCACGTATATATGTCTTTTGCCATCTGGAGTGCCCACCAGAGAGAGACTGAGAGAGGGAAAGTGAGAAATTGCTCCCCAAGGGGGATAGCCATGCCATAGTCCCTTCTTCTCCACTCACCTCTTGGGATTTTGAACAGACATGTACATGTGCCAGAGTTTTTCAAGCCGCTGGGTCCAGGACTTGAACTGTGCAGTTAGCCATATGGGATCCAGTCACCTTAACCACACCACCTGGTTGTCCCTTTAGTTATATATTTTTAAAGTCTTATTTATTTCATGAGACATAGAGAAATAGAAGAACCCTCAAAAAGGGTCTCATACCATGATTACACAGCCTTTCTGGCTACCTGGGATCATGGACATGTCTGGGTCAACTGGGCAACTGAACCTATGATCTGCCATATGGGCTCAGCTTTGCTTGAGCAGCAAGTTATCATGGAGTCCACCTTTATAAATAATTACTGTAGGGATTAAAAATATACATCCTTTAAACATTTTTTTTAAGTTTATTTACTAATTTCTTGCTAGAAAAGGATGGAGAGACAGATCTCTAACAGGGTCCTTGTGCTATGATCCAACCCCTACTCTCAGCCAGCCTTGGATCATGGGCATACGTCTGTGCTCATTGTGTTCAGGGTGGTCCTGGGATGGGAACTCAAGACCTTTTGCACATGAGTCTGCCTTGCAGTGTCCAATTTTATTGCTGCGCTATCAGCTGGTCCCTGGTTTCTTTTTCATTGAAGTAGAAATGATGATAATCATTCAGGGTCTAAACAGAAAAACAACACAATCTATGCCTTTTAACAAAAAGAAATTGGAACTGGCAGATGGCATAACAGTTAGGTCACTGGACTCCCATGTAGTTACTGCAGTTCGAGTCCTCAGACCCAATGGCTTGAAACTCACACCTGGCATGTGTGTCCAAGATCTCAAGAGGAGAATGAAGGAGAAGGGATTACAGCATGGCCATACCCCCTGGGAGGGATTTCTTGCTGTCTCTTTGTCTATCTCTGTCTCTTTGGTGAGTGCACTTGCCCTATAGCAAAAATCTCTCAAAAATTCAAAAAAGTAATTTATTACAAGGAATTGTTTTTATGGGTGATGGAAGATATGAAAAATAAAAGGAATGGTGAGACAGCCAGAGTAGGAAACCTCTACCATCCCTAAGTCAGAAAGACAAGGGGGAGAGGCCAGGTTCTTGATCCCAAGGGACCGTGGTCTCCCTGAGAACTGTAATGGGCCAGTTTAGGAGGACCTAAAGCCAGAGGGAGATGTATAAAGGAGAATTACCCTGGTTTCTCCTTTACACTAACTACTTTTCTCTCTCTCGCTTATGCCTCCCATTGGCCGAATCTAACTGGAAGCCACATTGACCAAATCTAAATGGAGCACGGGAAATGCAACCCATAGGGTCAGGCCCCTTGTGAAATGGAGCAGAGCTGGGAAAGGATCTAGGCACTGGAGATCAAATAGATACTAAAGAATTAGCACACTTCCTCAGAGAAATGTTATGATTAAACGAATTCACACACTCTTGGAATAGTATCTGGCACATAGTAAGTGCCATGTAAGGGCTTATTAAGTAAAATATAGACAACATTACCTCCAGCCGTTGCATTTGTAATATTGCTTAGTATTTGCCTTGCTTTAAACATTATGCCTTTTTGTTGTTGACAACCTGCTAAGTTTTGAGCCTCCTTGTGCTCTCAAAGCCTCTGCTAAGAGGAGAACTCTTCTTGTCTTGTTATCAAGCAACACTTCCAGTGAGCACACATATTTGTATCAAAACTGATTTTCTAGGTCAACTGTTGTTATCAATAAAAGTAGAGATTTTTGATAACTTCATGAATAGGATTTTAATGCCCTGAGGCACTGAAAAACCATGCTTTTCATTGGCCTTTTCAAGTTATTTTCTCCATGAGACAGAGAGAGAGAGACAAAAAGAAAGGGAGAAGAGGAGAGGGGGAGAGAGAGAGAAACTTAGGCCAGGCAGTGGCATGACAGTAAGGCAGCACTCTGCAGGGTTGGCCCACATGTTAAAGTTCTGGGTTCACATCAAGAGAGCACTCTGAACATGTCAGACATATGAATGCTTACAACCCAAGGTTAGCTGAAACTGAGTAGACTGCAGCATCAAGACCCTCTGGGGGGTACCTTTCTCTCTCTGCTTCTCTAGCTTATGGAAGAAATACATTAATTTTTAATTAAAAATTTAAAAATAGGGACCAGCAGATGACATAATGATTACATTGCTGGACTCCCACATTGTTGACCACAGTTCAAGTTCTGGACCCTGTGGCTTAAAACTCCTGCCGGGTGAGTGTGCATCCGTGCCCAGATGTCAAGAAGAATGGAGGAGAAGGGATTCTGCTGTGACCATTCCCTCAGGGGCTGATTTATCACTTTCTGTCTCTCTGTTTCTCTGGCAAGTGCACATGCCCTAAATAAATAAATAAACAAACAAACAAATATGTTTAAAAAGGGATAGACACTTCCCACAGGACAAAGCCCCCATGTTATGATTCATCCAGCCCTAGTTGTTTTAGATATCGGGAATATGAACACCCTCTCAGTGTGCACAGGGAGGCCCCTGGACATGAATCTGGGACCTTTGTACAAGGGTACTGCATCACAAAGTTCTGGGTTACTGTTGCACCACCCACTGGCCCTGAACAACTTTTTTTTTATTTTTTTAAAATAATTACTTTATTTAACTTTATTTATTTACTTATTCATTTTAATTTGACCAGAGAGGGACAGAGTGATAGAGAAAGTGAGAAAGCAAGCTACCAGGTTTGGGACCCAAACCACATTTGGCCATGTGGGAGTCCAGTATCCTCAATCACCATGCCACCTGCCAGCCTCAGCCCTGAACAACTCTTTAAGTCCATTTCTATACCTAGAACTTGACTGAGCCCCACCAAGTGATGCAGGTAGTTCTTGTCCAAAGCTCAGGGAAAATTAGAGATGCAAACACAGAGAGGAGATACCAAGGCAGAATTTTTATTAAGAGAGGGAAGAGGGCTAGCAGATAATATGGTGGCTAAGGCACTGGACTCCCACCTGGCTGACCATTTTTCGAGTCCTGGACCCAGCAGATGAAAATCATGTTGTGTGTATGTGCGTGCATGCCCCAGATCTTGAGAGAAGAATGGAGGAGAAGGTATTGTGGAGTGGCCAACCCTTCTGGGGGTGATTTCTCATTTTCCCTCTCTGTGTCTCTGTCTCTCTGGCAAGTTCATGTACGCTATGGCACAAAATGGAGAAGGGAACGGAAGAGAAAGAAGAGGAGGAGGAGGAGGAGAAGAAGAAGAAACAGAGCTCCCAAGCAGAGAAAGGTCCTGATTGGGTTCCGGAAAAGGAGCTAGAGGTGAGGGGTTTTTATCTAGCAGTTAGAGCAATGGTCTGGCTTTTTGATGAGGAAAGGGACCTTAGAAAATGGTTACATGGTAGTCTGAGTGAGTTATTCTGTTCTTCCTGTGGTCAGCAGACCATGGCCATTTGTACTCCTTAGTAGAATTTGGTTGCTAAATAGAAACTGTTTCTCTTAGGTAAGTTGCTTTGAGTTCCAGCACAGCCAGCTTTTCCCTATGAAAACTTAGCCACCGGGACTCCATCTTGGGCATTTACCCTGTCTGTGCGCTCAATCTCCCTATCTTCTACTTTATTGGCAAGAGTCATACATTCTTTAGAGACACATAAAAGGGGTGTATGCTCCACATTAATCAGACCATAGAGGAAAATCACAGAAATTTCATTAAAAAGAAAAACAGCAACTTCCTTTGGGGCCCCCACTCTATCTACCTGTAAGTGGAGTCTAACTCCTATCTCAAAAGGGAGAAGGAGAATGATGACAAGGAGCCATGCTTAATTACAGCCTAGGTGGACAGGGAAGATATGCAGTCAAGAAATAGGGAGAACTTGTTTCAAATTGTGCCAACATAGGTAATTATTAGCCTATGCCAAGCTGTAATATGATTGTAACTGATGACTGTGGCAATGTAGATGAAATCAGAGCAGGAAGCCAACAAACCCTCCTGGTGGTGGCACTTTTCCTGCCGGAGACCCACAATCAGTATACTACAAAAGTAACCAGTAGGGGGCAGCAGTACTACACAGTGTGGTCCCCTGACTGGTGGCTATTTCCCATGACAAGAAACATTGGGGCATACAAACACAAGAAAATTAAATTTGAAATGTTTATAGCCATTAGATATAGTAATTTTCAGTCTACAGACCCAACAATAAAAATGTGGGCTTTCTATTTTATATGTATTTTTATTCCAATTTTACCACATTTCACTAACTTATTAGGATCCAGTGGGTTGAACACACACACACACACACACACACACACACACACACACACGAGTCCTCCTTCACCAAAACTGAGAAACACTGGCCCCAAAGCACCAAACAGCCAGAAGACATAAAAGAGACAAGTGAGGGTTGCTCAGAGAAGGCTCACATTTAATGGTGTCCATCTGTTACAAGTGTATTCGTTATATTTTATTTAATACTACCAATAACCCCGTGGGTTACTGGTAAAGAGTACAGAAAATTCTGAGAAGATAATGACCATGTCCAAATGGAACCAGTCGGTGAGAATTCTCTGCCCTTCTAAAAATCTTCGTGCTGGATTGATTGCCATATCAGTGCTATTTGGTCTTCTATTGCTATCTGCAGTTCAGTTTATTCTGGGATCAGCTGCTTCAGGGCTAAGGTCGCAGGCAATGCTAATAATATGTATTCTAGACTTACCTTACCAATCTTTTTCTGGATTAGGAGAACTAGTATCTTCTTACTCAATGGAGTATGGTGCCTCATATGTCAAAAGAAAGGTTAAAACGATTACAGCAAGCCAGTTCCCATTTCTCATTCACATTTACATACTCACACATACACACTTTCTCATCAAGCAAGAAAAGCAAATTATGGTCTCTCACTGGAGTAATAGTATCAGGTACTTCCCCCCCTTATATTAGGGTATGTTTTTCATCATAAACTTAAAAATATTGTAGAAGTGGATCTTAGAAACTTTATATAATGGAAACCTTACATATCGTTATTTCCTTTAAGCCACACAATATCTCTATAGTTCCTGGTTAAAAAAAGAGATTCATTTATTTATTTACATTTATTTGTTATTATTATTATTAATAGTATTTTTAATTTGAGCAGAGAGAGACAGAGAGATAAAGGGAAAATGAGAAAGCAAGCCACCAGATCCAGGACTCAAACCACAGTTGACCATATGGGAGTCCAGTGCCACAACCACCATGCCATCTGCCGGCCCCTATAGTTCCTATTTTATTGATAGAAAGTTGATACCTAGAAAAGTTAAGTAGCTAGAATAAGGCGGCAAGGTTAGCAGATGATAGAAACAGGACAGAAACTGCATGTTTAGGAGAGAAGTCCATGCAATCTCTATGTTAAATTATTCTGTATAAAAATATTCTATGTAAAATATTCTATATAAAATTATAGTCATGTAAAAATTGTAAGGAAAACATGAGCAATAGCAGTTGTTAATTTAACTCTCAGACCACTTCTGTTAAATTATTTTTATACTTTATGCAGAATAAGGTTCTTAGAATCACATTCACATCAAACTGTTTCCCTTGGTGGACATTTTCACTCAGATCTCTAAATGTTAAGAAACTCAGATGATTTTTTTTTTTTCCAAAAGAGTTGCCTAAGAGCCATTGTTGGATGTATGAGAGAGTTGAACAACTATTCTCTTTCTGGAGGTGGTTGAAAATGACTTTGAGAATTTGCAGAACTAGGGTTCAAGGACTGCTTAACTTTCCAGATGTGAAATTTAGGTAAATTATTTCAACCTTCTATGCTTAAACTTTCTCATTTGGAGGTTGAAAATAATACCTCTCAGGGTTTTATGAGGACAAATTACATAACATAAACAAGGTGCTTAGTTAGCACCATACAAAGCACAGAATAAATGCTCAACAAATTGTTGCAAATTTTACATTAATAGCTAGGAGTGGTCCTGTAGAATATTGGACAAAGCTAGTATGATCTTTAAAACAAAAACAAGGCCAGCCCATGGCATGGTGATTAGGGCAGTTGGATCCCATATAGTTGACTGCCAAGTAGAGTCTTAGACCTGGCAGCTTGAGGAATACGCTGAGCGCATGTGCAAGTGTGCCCAAAACCCTAAAAGGAGAAGTGGAAAAGGGATTGCAGTGGACCATTCCCCATGGTGGTGATGGGTACTTCCTCCCCACCTCCAGCCTCCCTGGCAAGCACATACACTCTCTGGCAAATTTTAAGAAAAATGACAAAAGAGAACAATAAAACACAATAATATAGCAGAAAAGTAGGCACAAATACTCTTAAATAGCAGAATTAGTACAAAATACACACAGATGAGAAATTGGTTTTCAAGGCCCCTTTCATGTTATTGTTAACTGCAAACTTCTACATGCCTGCAATAGAGACATTATGTTTCTCAAGGCAGTACTGATTTTAAAAAAGTTTCACATTTACCTGTTGTAAGAGTGCAGAAACTAGTATATATTCAAAAACTGTCATGGGTGCATGAAAACATCAACACGGATATTGTTCCTACAGCAACAGGAACACTGTCATAGCATTCCTTGGCCTTCTTACAGACCAGCTTCTATACCTGCATGAGACAGAAAACCAGGACATTTATTTGCCACTAATCAAAATCCCTTCCATATTTCCTTACAGGCAGACAATACCATTACATCACTATTTTAAGAGACAGACTTTTAAGAGCTAAATGTTGATTTAGTTCCAGATTTAGTTATTACCTGCTTGGCTTAGCTAAGTTCACCTCTCTGATCCTGCTTCCTGAAGACAATATCTTCTTTTTTATTTACCGGAATAATTAAATGAGCTAACAACACAGCTGAATTATCGTTAATGCAGCAGATGTCAGCAAGTAGTAGCCACAGTTATTTTTGTTTTATAAACACATTTAGATAAAGAATTATAGGTGTGGAGCTGGATCCTAGGTCTGATTCCCAGTTCGGCATCCTTTATCGATTACGCTACAAGGTAAGTAAGCTGCCTTTGGTGAGAGGGCTTGGGGTGAGAATGAAGCTTAATTTCCCCATGGCCTGCAGTGACATTCATTATATCCTTTATTGTTCACTATTTGGCTACATTATTTTACTCCCTAGTAACTTGGGGTATGAAAAGTATAATAAAAACGCCTTCACATTCGTCCAGTAACCTCCTCTCCTGTCGGCAGGATTCCATAGAACGACCCTTGCGGGTAAAGCACCGAGTCTCCGACTTCAACCTCCACCAGCACACACAGATCGCAACGCGCGCCCCGCCCAGATGTTTATATTTTCCTACCTCGGCCCCGCCCCCCGACCACGAGGGCCTTCGGCCACACCCCCAAGCTCCGGTCCTAGGCCCGGACTTGCCTAGCACCTCAGCCTACCCATAGGGATTCCCTCTCCAGCCAATCGCGTCTGAGCAATGGGACTGCCCTGAACAAAGATGGCGGGAGAGGCCTCTGTGAGGGCAGACTGATCTGAACACCCGAACCCGCCGCGGACAGCTGAGACAGTGGTAGCGGCGCAGCCGGGACCATGGAGGAAGGCGGCAGCGCTGGCAGCGCTGGCAGTGACGGCAGCACCAACGGGAGTGGCGGGGCGCAGCAAAGGGAGCTGGAGCGCATGGCTGAGGTCCTGGTCACCGGGGAGCAGCTACGGTAAGGCGAGGGATAGAGCGGGTGGGTTCACGGTGGCACTGCCAGCCGGTACCCGCTGCAGTCCTGAGCGCACGCGTGTCGTGGCTCTTGACTTGAGACTCGCGCCCGGCGCCCGGGCAGCTGCGGGCGCGTGGATGGTCCTTTCTGCACTCGCGCCAGGCTGCTGCAACCCTGAACCCTGCAGACTTCCCACTTGCGCTGGATTGTCCAACCTCAGCGAGCGGGTGGTGCGCGTTGCGCTCTAGTCCAGCCGCCGCAGCCCTGTGCCCAGCTGACTCGCTGCCACCCGCAGCGCGCACTTCCCCCTCCCCAGGTACCTGGGCGCTGCCAAACTGACAGCTCGCTCGTAGTCCCACCCAGAGAGCGAGAGGCGTCGGAGTGGGGCCCGCAGTGGATCCAAACCCCTCTACTCCTAAATAAAAGGAGCAACCCTAATAATTGTGTTCGCTTCGCTCTTTTCCTTTTTGCTGACAAGTCTTACTTCATTCTCCTGAACATCCTGTTTTTCCATCTGTAAAATGGGGCCAATCACTGCCGCTTCCCTTGACTGGTCGCGGGGGCTAAACTGAGAACATTTCTGAAACCCTGCCCCTATCACTTCATTGGCACGCCGTCATCAGTCATCGTTCGAATCCGCAAGGGGGCGTGGAGGCATCTTGCTTGGTTGCCATAATGCTTTGGCAACTCCCTGGGTGCACTCATTGTGGGCAACCGAATCCATAGGCCCGCGGCTGCTGTGAGAATTAGGAGTCGCTGGGTCTCACTGAACCTGGGAGCAAGTAATGATCTGTAACCTCTCTTGCCATTCCCAGACCTTCCTAGTCCTTCTTGGGCTTATGTTTTAAGAACTGTACTTACTGTCTGACGGGTTGCACAGCTGCCCTTTGTGTGGTCATGGATCAGTTTGCCAGGAAAAAGATTCCAGCGCTACAGCTTTGAGCCACAACTTATACGCGGGCCCTGGCTGGCCTGACCAGAGACATGTGCGCCTGTTCCTTCAGTTCTTGGCTTGAATTTCCAGGCTCATTTTGGTTTCTAAACGCTCTATTTTAGAACCCGAAGGAGAATCTTGTGAAGGTCCCAGAGGGTTTGGTAACCACCCAGCTTGCAGCTCTTTTATGAGGAAGTAAATATTGGAAGTTAGAATCCGTTGGGCTCAATGTTATAAAAGGCAAATTGCACATTTCTATTCCTTGTTGATTTCTCTAATGTGTGGTCCAAATGAAAGGGAATAAAACCTTGTTTTCCTCCAGACTGTTTTCTAATTGCAAAATTAATATAAAGGTTTTCTAGTTCAATCTGAAATATTTCCTTTTTAACAGTTTAGTTTCTCTGCTTTCCATAACAATATTGTCATTTTAAAAAGTCCTTGGTTGTATGGGGTTACTTTTTATCTCTTTTACAAATGGGTACTAAATTGCTGGAGGGCTTTTTGTCCACTAAGCACTTTCTCCTTCAAGATGCAACTTAAATGCTCCTTTGTGGGATCCCCACAGTACTTTTACTCCCCTCTTCCATGTCACCCCTCCTCACTGCAGCAAATTTGAGGGCCATCCTTGGGCCTCTTAGTTTAAAAAAATATGTAGGACTCTCCAATTTAGGTCTAATCCTAGTTTTGCTACATACATTCTTATTAGTGTAGGACTTTAGACAAATTATTTAATTAAGAATGATGTGTCGTAGCAGACTGTACCTTGTAGTGTTATTATGAGATTAGATGAGTTCATGCTTAGAACAGTGCCTGAGTAACAAGTAAGCACCTTGTCAGGATTAGCTCTTGAGGCTCTGTGACTTTGGGAAAATTAATTTACTTCTCTGAGCCTCTGTTTCCTTAACTGTCAAATGACAAAGAATATGAAAGAATCTTTTGGGGTTGACGTGGGAATTTGCCCCTGGGCTTCATGCATTTGTGAACAGTCAGTAAATGGTTCCTGGAATTAATTATTAGTCGTCTTTCTGCATCACCGCAGGTGACTTCATGCCAAGCAAGATCTGAAAGGAAGGAGTGGATAGTGGTGAGAAGCACAGCATATAGAGGCAAGCTGGCTGGGTTCCTGCTCTGTCTCTACCTTGTACAGTTCTGCTATTTTGGAACAATTCACTTAACCTCTTCATGCCTTAGCTTTCTCTTCTCTAGAGAAGTGGTTCTGATGACACTTCACTTTCAGGTGTTAGTTGTATGAGAAATGAGGTGGCCCATGTCAAACTTTTAATAAATGTTAGTGATTTCATTTTCCTTTGTAAAATATTAATCATTCTTTTTTAAAAAAAGCTCAACTATGTTAGCATTGTGACTGTCACACAGCAACTACTCAGTAAGTATTTTAGTCAATGTTGCATATCACTCAATATACTAATGTTAGTACACAGTAGCGTCTTTTTTAGAGTTTAGGGTCATAACCATATGCCTGGCTTCCTGCTTG